TAATGAAATCCACCGGAGAAACAATATTGAGTAGAAGTGGAAAAAGAGAACTCACAAAGTATAGATAGATCAGATAGATCGGCCGAAATAGAGAGCTTGAACAAAATCTTCAGCAAGCGCGACCAAAAAGACTGATGGGAAAGAGGAAATCCCAAATTGGAAGAAGAACATGAGGAATTTACAAAGGAGAAATCGATGTTGAAGTCGTAATGGTTCTTAATGCTGTGAAACCTTCTAAATTCATATAAGAACAAGCACCGCTTGGAGAACCAGAGAAAGGAAAAGACAAATCTACCCTTTGAGGAAGCACACATGACGACGAAGAGCAGGTTCTTGTTAGACTCTTCTAATATATACTAGATAATGGTGCCTGTGCTATGCACGGGCCCAATAATATAAATGGTATGTTTTGGAGCTAATAACGAAGTTTTTGAAGCGATTGTTTGCGGGGGATAAAGGAATAAGTTTTTTTTATCACAAACCTGTAGTTTCTTTGACACTATTTAAGGCATAATAAGACTATCCACATATAAATTTTTGAAATATTTTATGTTGTCAATTATCATGATTTATAGTATTTTTATGATAGATTCACTTCAAGAATCAGTGGAATTTTTTGTATTTTAAAAAAAACATATTTTATGTTGTCAATTATCATGATTTATAGTATTTTTACGCAATTTTTAAAAATAAAAAAAACACAAAAAAAAATAAGACAAATAAATTAAAATGGACCCAATATATATTATTTTTGTTGTCTCAATTTATGTGACACAAATAAAATTTGGAGAGTCATCCAAATTTTCATATTTTTAAAAAAATGTTTTAAGTTATTAATTATTGTGATTTATAATATTTTTATGTAACTTTCAAATAACCTACATTACTGGTCACTTTGTACTAATTATGTGATATGGATAAAATTACAAAATTAACCCTTGTAAAATGTCTTTTAGATATTTTAAGTTATTAATTATTATTATTTATAATACTTTTTTGATAATTTTAAAATGATATGTGTTATTTTTTCTGTCCCAATATATGTGAGCCTGATATAATTCTGAGAGTGAACCTATTTTATTATATAGCTTTTAAATATTTTAATTTGGTAATTGTATTTTTTAATGCTTTTTAAGTCATTTGTAAATGATATATGTTGCTTCCTTTGTCCCATTTTATATAGTATAAATAAAATTCCCAAAACCAACTCAATTTTTAATATATTTTTTAAAATATTTTAAATTATTAATTATTGCGATTTATAATATTAAAAAAAAATTAAATAGAAAATGTACAAAACTTGTATCAGCCTAAAAAATGACCACAATAATTTGAAGCCTACAGAAAGAAATAAAGTTGTACGTAATTTTAAATACTTAATATATATTACTCCGTTTGTCTCAATGTATGTAGAATAGATAAAATTTCAAGAGTCAATCAAATGTTGTTAATTGTTAAGATTTACAATACATTTTACGTAGTTTTCAATAATTTCACATTAAATATTACATATTACTACTTTTGTCTCATTTTATGTGACATTGATAGATTAATTTTAAGAATCAGTCAATTTCATTTTTTGTGTTTTTTAATAAATATTTTAAGTTTTCAATTATCACGATTTATTATATTTTATACATAATTTGTAACGATAGATTAATTTCAAGAATGAATGGAATTTTTTTATATGTATTTATTTTTGAAATATTTTATGTTGTCAATTATCATGATTTATAGTATTTTTACGATAGATTCACCTGAAGAATCAGTGGAATTTTTTTTATTTTTTTCAAAACATATTTTATGTTGTCAATTATCATGATTTATAGTATTTATACGCAATTTTTAAATATAAAAAACACAAAAAAAAAAGACAAATAAATTAAAATGGACCCAATATATGTTATTTTTGTTGTCTCAATTTATGTGACACAAATAAAATTTGGAGAATCATCCAAATTTTCATATTTTAAAAAAAAAATGTTTTAACTTATTAATTATTGTGATTAATGGTGTTAAATTGTCCAATAATATAAATTTTAAAGGTACAACCATAAAAGAAGAATGTACAACACTATCTAAGCACATGTAACACTTGTTATATATAGTAAAAATAATGCATATTACTACTTTTGTCTCATTTTATGTGACATTGATAGATTAATTTTAAGAATCAGTCAATTCATTTTTTGTGTTTTTTTAATAAATATTTTAAGTTGTCAATTATCACGATTTATTATATTTTATACATAATTTGTAACGATAGATTAATTCAAGAATGAATGGAATTTTTTTATATGTATTTATTTTTGAAATATTTTATGTTGTCAATTATCATGATTTATAGTATTTTTACGATAAATTCACTTGAAGAATCAGTGGAATTTTTTTTATTTTTTCAAAACATATTTTATGTTGTCAATTATCATGATTTATACGCAATTTTTAAATATTAAAAACACAAATAAATTAAAATGGACCTAATATATGTTATTTTTGTTGTCTCAATTTATGTGACACAAATAAAATTTGGAGAGTCATCCAAATTTTCATTTTTTTTTTAAAAATGTTTTAACTTATTAATTATTGTGATTAATGGTGTTAAATTGTCCAATAATATAAATTTTAAAGGTACAGTCATAAAAGAAGAATGTACAACACTATCTAAGCATATGTAACACTTGTCATGTGCTAAGTAGTACATATATAGTAATATTATATATAGTAATAGAAAAATATATATAGAAAGGACATATTTATTAATTAACTAAATAATTAATATGTAACTAAAAATCTTGTTAGCTTTTGATTGAAAGCTAACAATATAGTTACAATGATAGTTGCATTGTGGCTATATATATATAAGTTTAGTAACCTTATTCTTTTTGGGGTTACTAAACTTTCTTATTAATCACCAAATATCATTACTCCCTCAATTTCAAATTAATTGAATTGTTGAGACATTTTTCATTTTTCAAATTAACTTAATTATTCAATTTTCAAGACTACTTTTAAAAATGTTCTTTCAATTTTACCCTTCATTAGTTAGTATTGGAATTAATATTAATTTAATGTTTAGTTATTTTAATCATCAATTTGACAATAATTAATAAGGGTAAAAATGAAAAGTTATACCTAATTATGTCTTAAATCTTGTTTTCTTAAAGGTGTGAAACACTTTAACAATTCAATTAATTTGAAATGGAGGGAGTACAAAGCCACAATGTGTTTTAACCAAGATTATATGCAACATTACTCAAATCAACCCCTGGCACATCTGGTAAGGTATTTTAATTGAATTTTGTTGAAATATAATTAATGGAGAACTTACTATTGTATTTGAATCATCTGATATTCAAGGGATATCAAAGAAGGAAATTTGCAGTATGCTCTTGGTGCAAAATTTTTCTAAGGAAGTACGACTACGGTTGATTTTTTTTTTTTTTCCATAACAACTGTAGATAGGGATGACAATGGAGCGGCATAGATGCGGGGCAGGGTGGGTTTAAGACTATGCAGGGCGGAGCGGAGTGAATTTAAAGTTATGCAGAACGGATTAAAGTGAGTTTTTTTAAAATTAACGCGGGATTGGGCGGTTTGTCGGTATATGTGATTTTATGTAGGTTCAAACTTAATTTTAAACTTTTTAAATGTTATAAGAGTGATAAAACGTTATTTATTAAGATAATTTCTTTAAAACTATTAAAACATTCAAGATGGTAAATGGAAATGGTTCAATAAAAAATAATACGTACAATTTTTTACATGTTTCCCAATTAGTTTCTAAAATAATTTTTTTTTTAAGTCACTATCCTATTAAATTAATATAACTTAATAAAAATGAATGAACTAAAAGAATACGCTCATTCAACATATAAATATTCTTTTTTGTATAATAAATATAATTAAAAATTAAAAAAATTTCTTTGTCTCAATTCTCTTTTTCATTACTACACACTAATATTATTTCACATTTTTCATCTTTTTTTAAGTTACTTTGCAAAGAAAAAACACTACTATTTATAGTTAAAAAATCTTAAAGAAATTATGACGACTAAAAAAAAAAAAAGTAGTATTTGGGATGTAAGACAACAGAGTCTTGGAACTATAAATCACAACTACCCATAAAATACATCACTCTTCCACACGGACTTCTCACGACACTAAATTACAAAAAACAAAACCTTAAACGATTCATTAGATATGTTAATCTAGTTCAAATTTAGACTCAAATCTACCACAGAATTGGCCAAAATTCCCATCAGTTCACTTACAAAAAAACCAACATCCCCACGTAAACCACTCACAAATACTCTCTTCGTTCTATTTTATATGTCATCTTTTTATTTTACACTTTTTATTTTGTATTTGCATTAAGAAATAATGTAATTATACCATTCCTTTCTTATTTAATTTTTTTGAAGCTTAAATTTTCAATCAATGAAAATGAATTAATTTATTTTGATTAATTAATTTAATCAATGGACATGAACATTTACTTAACTTTTCTAAATTGGTCAAATATATATTTTCAATGCTAATAATTTACAAGAATAAAAAAGAAACAATATGCTAATTTATGCATGAAATGACAAATATTATGAACATTTATTTATAAAAATGGATGACATATAAAATGAGACGAAAGGAATACATACTCTTCCTTCTTGAAGAAGGAGAGAAATTCATAGATCATTAGTTAAATACTTTGCATCTATAACATAAAAATGGCAACACACATTAAACACTTTATCATTGATCACAATATTTCAAAACATGTAGTATACATGAAGAGTAAGCTACATTGCCAAAATATTCAAAACAAAAGTACTACTATCCAAATAAACATAAGCAACAACAAGGAAGTAAACCAAATACTAATTATCATGATTCATGATCATTCAAAAATAGTAAATGGTTTATCCCTTTTAACAAAATTCAAAATTTAAAATGACATAAATAAAAAGAGTGCAACATCACACCCTTGACACCATCAATCTTCAGCGGTTGCTGCTGTTGGTGCATTCACGAGCAAAATGCCCTTCTTCCCCACATTTGAAGCAGCCTCCGCCGCCTCCACCTCCACCGCCGCTACCACCATATCTTCCAGCACCGCCTCCGCCATAGCCGCCTCCCTGGGTACATTCTCTAGCGAAATGCCCTTCTTCCCCGCATTTATAGCATCCCGCTCCTCCTCCTCCTCCACCACCTCCACCATACCTCCCGCCACCATAACCCCCATCACCTCCATACCTACCACCACCGCCGTAACCACCATCACCTCCACCATACCTCCCGCCTCCTCCTCCATATCCACCACCAGTACCAGCACCGCCACCATAGCGATCGCCACCACCGTCACGAGATCCTCCTTTAACAGGAGCACCATCTGGGCCGGTAACATCGACAGCCTTAGAACGACCATCGTTACCAGATTCAACTTCAAATTCCACAGCTTCACCGTCTGCCAAGCTGCGGAACCCTTCAGATCTGATCCCTGACTGGTGAACGAATAGCTCCGCTCCGCCATCATCTGGAGTAACAAAACCAAATCCTTTCTGGTCACTGAACCATTTAACAGTTCCCTTTTTCCTTTGCACCTGATTACTCTCGGACGCCATAGCTACAGCTCACAGAAAATCCCTAAAAACAAGGCAAAAACTATTAGACTCTTTTTTACTCTCTTGCTGTTCTCACAACTGTGGGCTTTCAACACTGCAGTGGCTCTTATTTATATTGATGAGTTACACCTGGGGTCCTATATGACCAGATATTCCATTAAATGTTTTTTACTTTCTTCAATATTTTATTTATTAAATAATTAAATAATGTCTCTTTTCATTCATTACTTTTTGCCATACTATTATAATGGCAAATTATATTAATTTTTCTTCTTTGACCAAAAATAAAATTAATTCCATTTTTGACATTATATTAAATGTTTTTTACTTTCTTCAAGATTTCATTTGATAAATAATTAAATAATGTCTCTTTTCATTCATTACTTTTTGCCATACTACTATTATGGCAAATTATATTAATTTTTCTTCTTTGACCCAAAAAGAAAATTAATTCCATTTTTGACATTATATTAAATGTTTTTTTTTTACTTTCTTCAAGATTTTATTTGATAAATAATTAAATAATGTCCATTTTCATTCATTACTTTTTGCCATACTACTATTATAGCAAATTATATTAATTTTTTTTCTTTGACCTAAAAAAATAATTAATTCCATTTCTGGCATTATATTAAATGTTTTTTTACTTTCTTCAAGATTTTATTTGATAAATAATTAAATAATGTCCATTTTCATTCATTACTTTTTGCCATACCACTATTTTGGCAAAATTAAATTAATTTTTCTTCTTTGACCAAAATAAAAAAATAATTCCATTTTTGGCTTTATATTAAATGTTTTTTTACTTTCTTCAAGATTTTATTTGATAAATAATTAAATAATGTTTCTTTTCATTGATTACTTTTTGCCGTACCACTATTATGGCAAATTACATTAATTTTTCTTCTTTGACCAAAAAAATAAGTTAATTTTCTTTTGTTATATTTAATTATTATATAATTATTAAATATATAATTCTATTTTTTAAAAAAAATAAGAAATTTTATATCAAATTTCACGGTTAAATTAAAAAGGATTTACTCTTAAAATTTGAAATTGTACCACATAAATCATTGACAGATGGAGTATCAAATAACCAAATAAATATTTATACATATTTTTATGATTTTTCACCTGACGTTTGATTTTTCTAGTCGACATGCATTTAGATTTGGACTTATTTTTTACATTCATTTAACAACTCATATTATATTAAAAATTCATTATTTAATTCTCATGCCCCTTAATTATGACCCACCCAATAACTCTTGCGGAATGTCATCCCACATTCACATTGTCTTCGTCTTAATTCACATTTTCTATTATACGTATATAATTTTTTAGTAGAAAGAAGTAGTGCAATAGAATCTACTTAGTGATTAAATCTTAATGTATGCCTAGTGTTATTCATTCATTTATGTAGTAGAAATTAAGGAGGGGAAATTACGTGGTTAAATAAATATATATTAGTTAATTAGTCATCATAATTATAATTTTAGTTAATTATCACTTGCGATCAATATTTAATGATAATTACGTGGGTTGGAGTTTCGAGTTTGTATAATTTGCACGTTTGTATAATTTGGAATTTGTATAATATAATTTGTATAACTTTTGTATAATGTAATTTTATATAATATAATTTGTAAATTGTTTAAAGTCTAGATGTTTGTGTTTGTATAAATTCGTTGTTTGAGTTTATACAAAAATAGCTCAATTACACAAACATATCCGCGAATTATACAAACTCGCAAATTATACAAACGAGAAAGCTTAAATTGCAGTTACTGCCTGTCCGTAAATATGCAAACTAAAACTATGAAGCATAATTAAGTTTCTTATAGTGGCTATTTGTGAAAATTTCTCAATTATAAATCAGCTAGAAGATGAAATTTCTTAAGAGATCTAAGAGGTTGAATAAAAAATTGCCCATGAGTTTACAGTAAAATCTTACTAAATTAATATAAGTGGAATCATGAAATATTATTATTATTTTGTAGAGGTATTATTTAATCGATAAATTAATATATTTATTAATTTAAAGAGTGTTTTGATTCCGCAAATCGTTCGGGGGATGAAATCTGTTGAAATATAATTAAATAATAAAAGTGTGCTCTCTCTACTTGAGAATATAATTAAATAATAAAAGTGTGTTTTCTCTAACAACTTAAGCTTTTAGATGAAATAGTCACACACTTCAACATGGTATCAGAGCAGGCAAGGTCCTGAGATCAAATCTCACCGCCACCCAAAATTAAAAAAAAATTCTACATGCTTGGACCATGAAAAAAAATCAGGCCCGCACATGAGGGGACATGTTGAGAATATATAATTAAGTAATAAAAGTGTTCTCTCTCTAACAACTTAAGCTTTTAGATGAGATGATCACACACTTCAACAAAATCTCAGAGATTTTAAATGAACCCACATGTGAAAACATCTTTCATGAACTTGATGTCATGATTAATTATCTCAGTTACCGCAATAAAATGGATGTTAATAACTTATTGGATGGGTGAAAATGATACATGTTTAGAGGTTCAAAACTTTGAAGAAATTGTGGATACCATTGAAAAAAGTAATGTTGGTGATAAAGTTGAAGATGATACAATACCTTCATATCCAGTTACGCATAAGGAATCACATTTAGAACTCTTCATAATTGTATGGTGCAGTTCGAAAGACAACACCAAAACTTTTGGATGCAATAAGAAAAGTTAGAAATGATTTTCAACTAGATTTAAAGTTTAACAAAAAAATAGAATACAATAGAATCATATTTCACTAAATTGTCTTAGATATATTTGTACTTTTAAGAAATTATTAATTTATAATATTAATGGGGCGGAATGGCCTGAGAGGCTCTTGTACCTGACTCAATTTGTAAGCTGAATCCCTGTACTTACGACTTTGCCAACTAAACCCTTAAATTCATTCAAACACAATATTTTAGACCCCTTTCTCATCTGATGGGTGTGCGTGTTATACACTCATTTTACACATGAAATACCACGTCATTTTTTAATGACACATCATTATTATTATTATTTTAATAACATATCAGAAATTAAATATTTAAAAATAAATAATATTTTTAAAAAATGTAATTTTCTCTCTCTCTCTGTACCATTTCACTCCCTTCCCACTTTTCATCTTCTTTGTTCCCACGTTCTACCATTTTCATCCCAAAAATAAAAATCACAATTTTCATCTTTCTTCATAGTTCACACTCAAAAATTTCTTCAATCACAAAATGTGATAGATTATAATTAGTTCTTGCACATGCTTTCTGGTTCTTTTTATTTTGATTTGATAAATAGAGATACCAAGAAAATTTCAAATTGAGAAAAATATATTTATATGTAAATTCAAGTAGTAGATCTTAAAGAATAGGTGAATGATATATTTTCTTGCAAAAAAACTTTTTCAATTATTTATTTGATGATTTTACTATGATAATGTGTACATCAAAGAAGAAGAAGAAGAGAAAAGGAGTAGGGGGGGGGGGATGTGGGCTGAGGTTGAAGAAGAAGAGGAGAAAATGAGTAGGGGCGGGGGAGGATGGGGGGTGGGGGCTGAGGTTAAAGCAGAAGAAGAGAAAAAGGGTGGGGTGGGGGTGGGGCAGAAGAAGAAGATAGAAGAGGTGGGGGTGGGGCGAGGTGGGGTGTAGTGAAGAAGGAGGTTTTTAGTATTTTTTTTTAAAAATATTATTATTATTGTTTTGTCTTATAATTTTGATAATTTTAAATTAAAAATATTGTATTTACTTGCTTCAAAACGCTTGGGGTTACGTATTTGTCCAACTAAGCCATTTCAGTGCCAATAAGTTCGGTCAATGGTCAGAGGGGTTTACAAAATAGAGTTTCATTGAGTTTAAGGGTTCATTTGGCAAAACGATGAGTAGAAGGGTTCAACTGACAAACGAAGCCAAGTACAAGGGCCTCCCACGTCATTCCGCCTATTAATGGGACCATATATTTATATAGAGGTCTTCTGAAAATATATTATCTTATCGAAATGAGTGGTTTTTTCCATTGACCCAAGTTGGAATCGAAAGAAAATATTATTTTAGAGAGGTTATTAATTAGGAAAAATAACTAGAATACACAACCTTAGTTAATGTATTCACAATATATAACTCCCTACTATTTTAAAAAATTTCAAAAATCCCTATTTTCCCAAAAACTAAACTACACTAGATACATTATTATTAAAAATTCCAAACCATTAGTTACCACCCCTAAATTTACTCTCCTCTAATTTCTCCCACTTTACTGTTCACGAACCCTTCCCTTCCAAAAAATTCTCCTCTATCTTCTCAACAGATTCATATTCCAAGTTTGAATTTCAAACTATTTCGCACTCCATTCAACCAATTTCAGAATTTGAAATAGGTAGTCTCTTCATCTTCAACTTTTAATTTTAGTTTTTTTTTTATTTTCTAATAATTCATGGATCATCCGTCTTTTAGTATGGGGATTATCCAAATAGTCAAAAACTAAAAAGGAGGCACATGCAAAAACGCCTAAGAAAAGGGGTAGAAAGGTCGCCCCTGCCATATCCAGATCTGCACTACTAATGGTATGCATTTTAATTTTTTTTTCTTTTTTTTGTAATTTTCTATATTAACATGTAGTGAGTTTTGTGTAATAGTAGATACATTATTGTTAATTAAAAATTATTATGTATATTGATTAAATTCTTCATTTGTTATACAAAATCCTAATTTTTGATATATTTGTTTATTTATTACGACTAATGTATCAAAAAGTTAAAATTCAAATAATGAGATAGAACTGTTGATATTTATTACTCCCTCCGTTTCATAAAGAATGACCTGGTTTGACTTGGCACGGAGTTTAAGTAAATAAAGAAGACTTTTGAATCTTGTGGTCCTAAATTAAAGTTATGTCAAATGTACAAAATTGCCCTTAATCTTGTGGTCTTAAACATGCCACGTGGAAAGCAAAAAGTAAAATGTTACCAAAAAAGGAAAGAGG